TTAAGAGTTAACCTTTATCACTAATCTGACTATTTGATTACTTATTAAAGTAATATAAAATTAATCTAAGTTGAGTAACGTTGCATAAATTCTACCTAATTGCCTAATTATTACTTTTTTTGTTTTGTTTTGTTTGTAATTTGTGATAGATGTAGGGTGGAGGCACAAAAAAATGTTTAGGCATGCCCCCCTGGGCATGTGTTGGACTAGAGGCCTTCCATCTCAACATGTTCTACAGTGCAACTATGTATATTAGTATTATCTAGAAATGTCGAATAGTTCGTTTTGCCTAGTTCTAGTTCAAAACTGATAGGCTTAAGTTCAAACTAGTTGGTATAGTAGTTCATGATATCATTTGGACTAGTAGTATATAATGTTATTCGAACTAGCAGTAGTTCAAATGTCATTAGTAATATTAGTAATTTTATTTGTAATCTATACGTTATCAGTTAAGAACGATTAGGGCCGGACAACTTTTGAACCGGGTTCATAGAACGACTTAACATTTATAGTCTTTGTAAAAGCAGCACAAGGAATAGGTCCATCGATTCTAGTGATAATTATAATTAATATACAAATCATTCGTGTAGTTTTTACCTCTAATATCGAACAAGAAACTCCACCATCCACCCTACTAGACTGAAGTTAGTGTTTGTTACATTGTAGATCGAATTTCATTTTTTACACCGAACATTGCATGTTAATCATAGCATTCGCACGTAAAGGTTCTTTACTATACTTCAGATATGATTGTTCGCAATGCAAATTAATTGAATATTTGAATAATTGAATATTTGTAATGCAAACAATTTGTTAATTGTAGCATTAAATAATTACGATAAACCGAAGAAGAGCTTGTAATTATTTTGATACTACGTATTATTAAAATGTTATGTACTTCTATGGTACAAGAGCAAAAATAAAAATGCTAAAGAACAAATAGCACCATCGCAATCTTTAAAATACGTCGCACATACATTTAAAATCAAGCATAAAAGATAATTACTATGCAATGGTAGTAAACTAACATAAAGATAATTACTATACAATGTTAGTAAACTAACATAAAGATAATTACCATACAAATCAATTTCTTTCCAAAATTGTAGAAGTGAGTAAATGTCGAGTTCGTAAACTTCGAGTTCGTAAATCCACATTCGAGCAATAATATAAATATTGTTGTCTAAATACTTTAGGTTGAAAATTATTTTACTTCTTTTCGCAAAGATGAAATCTTTTAAGATAACATTCATTATTTTAGTAATTATTTTAGTAATTGCACTCATCGCACTACCCTTGCAAGCATTACAAAACTACGAAAAAAGACGTGATTGCAATAAATTCAAAGATGTTGTCGTTTTTGGCAATGACTTTTCGGGTAATATATATATATATATCATAATAACAGATAATGTTTAATAAGTTTTGTTTATGTCATTTATTTAATAAAATTTGATCTTATTACATGTACATAAATAGATACTGGGAACGCATATAAATTAACCAAAAATAAATACCCACCATCCCCACCCTATTTTCATGGAAGGTTCAGTAATGGACCTGTCTGGCCGGATTATTTCGTATCAATAATCAAAGCTAAACTACATGATTATGCTTTTGGCGGTGCTTCATGCGAGTGAGTTATTCATTGAATTTTAATTTCATCTAACCATTTACTATTTAATAAAGATTTATCAAGTAAATTAACCATACTTATTGAAAATAGTTCCACGTTAGTTCCATCTTTTGCGGGCCCGAATAAAATTCCTGTTCCTGGACTCGTTCAACAAGTAGATGATTTTATCTCAAAAGATATTAAAAAATTTAATCTCAAGGAAACATTGTTTGTGGTAATGTTAATTAATATAATCTTTCTTTATTTTTGATGTAAATACTATTTTCCATTTATTTTACTTTCGATTTATGCATGTAATTATTACTTTATACTATAAACAGTTTGGTACAATACTTTTAGACTATGACCAATCTTTAGGAGAAGCAGATCCAGCAAAGATCGTAGCAAGTGTTGGCAAAAGGTTAGAATGTCTCTACAAAGCAGGTGCTACCAATTTCATGGTTTTCACTTCCATGCCAACGGGTATGTTTACCCCAGGTGAACAAGCAAACTTTTCACCGGAACTTTTACAAAAAATTACAGAAAAGACTACACTTCATAATCAATACGCAAATGATGCTTTAGATGCATTTAAAAAAGATCATCCTGATGTTAATTTATTTTTAATTAAAGTTGATGAAGTCGTCAATGTAGTTTTTAGTCCTGAAACATTAGGAAAGTTAGGAATTACTGTTTTTGATATAGGTTGTGTACCTGATAGTGGTTTTGCAGGCAAACATAGCGTGGTTTGTGATGATCCTAAAAAGTATTTATATTTCGATAATTACACGGCCATTAACACTAAAGTTCTTGAGGAATTTACAAAACAAATCGTTACCTATTTAACAGTATAATTTTTCATGTTACTTGATATTATCTCTATTACCTTAATCGTTCTAATTAATATCATATTTATTTGTTTTGTTTATTTAATTTTTTTTTTTTTTACTACTCAACTTAGATTAATTTTATATTACTTTAATAAGTAATCAAATAGTCAGATTAGTGATAAAGGTTAACTCTTAA